TATACATAAAACCTAATGAAAGTCCTCCACATTTATGGCGCACTAAAGTAGCACTACAGTACTATGTTAAAATAAAATCATGCCCAACTAACCCAGCTTACAGCAGTACTTTAAACGTAATTACTGTTATCTATTCCAACAAAAAGAAAATAATACAACCCTATGGACTCAGGATGGAATCCATTGCTGAAGAATTAGGGACCTCACTTTCAAACATACAAGAAACGACTGCAGCCAGTATTCCACCATGGACAATCAAGCAACCTGAAGTCTTGTTAGAATTAAATAAACTCCCTAAACAAAAAACGCACCCACTCACATTCCAGGACAAGTTTCAGGGCATATTGGAAAACTACCCTAACCATACACCCATCTATACAGGGAGGGTCACAGTGTGAGGACAAGACATGATGTACAGCAGTGAGTGAAAATATTACAAAAAAAAAAGCGCCTCTCAAAGGGAAGCTCTATTTTTATTGCGGAGGTTTAAGCAATAGAGCTAACCCTCTCAACATCATCACAGAGAGCAAACAAAAAATTTTAATTTTTTGGACTCACTATCCGTCCTAATGGTCTTTGTAGGAAAAAGAAAATCCAGCAACCCAATCATTATTAAACTATTATGCAAAATGAGCAGTACTACTTGTAAAACTTGAAGACATCAAACTATGTTGCATTCTTAGCCAGATCGGATTGGAAGGTCACAATAAAGAAGACCTAGCAGCCAAATCAGCTTTAGATATGGATGTAGATCCAACGACCAAAATCAGATACACTGACTTTAAGGAGGTCATTAAAAATACATTCAAAATGAATGGCAACGGTGCTGGGACGACAACCCACATAATAAGCTCTTCGCAATTCAGCCCAAACTAGGAGAATGGAAGTTGACTTCCAGAAAATCTCAAAAGGAAGAAGTAGTACTGGTCTGCTTACGCATTTGCCACAAGAGAATAACCCACCCGTACTTGCTAAACAACGAAAATCAACCAGTATGCCGAGAATGTGAAACGGCATACACTATTAAACATATATTACCTGAGTGTTCAGACCTTGCTCTCTCAAAAAAAAAATGCTATAATATAAACAACATGTATGAGCTTTTCGAGAAAGCAAAAGTGTATGACATAATATTATTTCTTAAAACAGTGGGCCTCTACAAAAAATATAAACCAAATGAGAATGTCAATAAAATCAATTTCTCTACAAACTGTATACCTGAAAAGAATGCATCAATGAAACCATACCCTCGACAAAAACTTTCTTTACTAAACTACGTCAATGAAACCTGATTCACAAAGTGATATCTTACAAAGAATGCATATTTTATTCATACAAACCTATTGTCAAAATCTTGTTGGCATTAAATAACCCATTGAGGTTGCTATGCCGTAAAACAAACCAAACTAAAACAAAAATATAGGTCCTTTTCCTTTAGTAATATAAAAAACAAAAAAATTTAGATGGCAACGGACAAGACAATGTCGCTCCCTTTTTCTGTTGAAATTAAACGAGACAAAACCTGGAATGGCTTCTTGAGTGAAGACGGACGAGTGGTTGATTGATATTTTGGGGGATTGCAAGAATTATTCATTTTTTCTTTCTTTTGCTTGTGAATATTGAATTAACAATTATTTATTTTGGAGATAATGATAATTTTCAGATATAGGTCCTTTTAACCAATAGCCGGAAGGAGAATAGATGGATTCACACCTTTCATATCGATATTAGCGCGTAAGTGAATGAAGCGAACTCAATTAGAATCCGAGCCGCTATATTCATTATACTACCTGCACAACCACACGAACGTAAAAATGTGGGTCAATTTTTTATTCAATAATAATAATAATAATAACAATAATAATAATATTTCTTCCTCCACCGGGAAGACAGTCAAGTGTACAGCGTGGGTCTATTTGCAAAAATAAATAAATAATATAGAAAAACATTTTAAAAATCTAAGTGGCTTCGCGCTTGAAGACATGTCATGTATAAACGTTTGTTCCTTTTTTGCTTTTATAAATAATAAAAACTTTTGAAATGTCTTCGTGGATGGAGGCAGACAAATGTAAAATGTGGATCACTATCCCCTTTTTGTAACAGAACTAAATAAAACAAAAATTCTGAAATAGTTTCGTGCGCGTAGTGTACAGAAAGTTCACTTTTTCTTTTGTAATTAAACAAACAAAAAAATAAAGAAGCAAATCTTCTTAGGTGTCTTCGTGTTTGGAAGACATGTCACGTGGTCAATGTAGGTTTTTGGTTATTTCCTTTGTCATCAAACAAAACGAACACTTCTGAAATGGCTTCGTGCGTGAACACACACAAGTGTTCAACGTAGGTCCATTTTTTCCATTTCAGTTCAACAACGGATGTGTACACTCATGTGCGGTTAACGTAACAGTTATCAGCACAAAATTTGAAATCGGCGAGTCGAGTTCAAATTTCGGCCAAACGTTGGAGTAATGGATAGCGGCTCGGATTGAGGAATCGGAGAGCCGAGTTCGAATTACAGTTGAATCCATTACATTCACTTACTTGCCTTAGGAAAGGTTTACATTCACTTACTTACCTTAGGAAAGGTTTGAATCTTCTTCTTCTTCTCCCCCCAATCAAAGATATGGGTAAGTAGCAGGACAGACCAGTTGCCTTGAATGACAATTGATCCAAGGCAACTGGTCTACCGCAAAAAGAAATGGCAACCTACTGCGGGAAAAAAAATCTGCCTCGTCAGTCATGTATCGAAAGATACATGATCGCCTAAGCATGACACATAACTGACTTGTTGCATTCATTTCGCACCAATGCTCTTACGAATTGTATGAATCCATTTTCTCCCTAGCTATGTGCTAAAAATAGCAGAGTTGACTTGTGCCCTCTAACTTTGGAAAACATAGTTTGACGGAAGTACTACTTAGTCTGAATTCAAAACCGTAAAAAAGCCACAATATTTTCCAAACAGTATCTGTGTATATTTTCATGACTAAGGAAGTTGTGGGGTGTCATGATCACCTACATTCAGAAGAGACATGACATTCAAAAATATTTAACGAACCCAAACAAAATATTCAAAAATTGCTTACTGTGTGAAAACAGGCATGTGTACAATATTGGCCCATTACGAAAGCAAAACTAAGAACATCTGAAGAAATGTCTAAAAGAGAAGAGTGTGCAATATGGTTCCATTCTTTTTTTCTTTTCTTTCCTAATTAAATATCTTTTGAAATGGTTTCGAGCATGAAGTGTACAGTGTGGGTTCATTTTTTTCTTTTGTATTTAAAAAAAAATCTTCTGAAATAGTTTCGTGCGGACAGACATAGTGTATATCAAGTGTAAAAAAACTGTAAAGAGTAGGGCCATTTTTCTCTTAATTAAACAATAACAAAATTAGTTTCGTGCGTGAAGAGTACAGAAGTGTTTTCCAGTGTAGCTTTTTCTTTTGTAATTAAACAAAAAAAAAAAAAAAAAACAATATCTTCTGAAATATTTTCGTACGTGAAGGAAAGTGTACAGTGTACTTACACTGTTGTACACTTACAGTGTAAATCACTTTTTCCTTTTGTAACAAAAAATAAAACTAAATCCAAGTAAAAAAAAAAGAAGTGATAAAAAAAATATGTTGAAAAGGCAAACGGGTAAAAAAAAACAACAAAAAAAAACATAAACATCAAACGTTGGGTGTGGGAGACACGTCGGAGTTTATCCTCTTCTGAAATGGCTTCGTGCGTGACGATATGTGTAAATTTCTCAGTGACATTCCGTAAGGGACCATCAATGTACACATGTACAAGTTTCTCTTTTCTGTTTTTCTAACTGACTGAATCGTTTTACAACTAGGTGTTTAGTTTGTATGACCAAACCGGCCTCCTCCGTGTCTAACAGAGGAATGTCAACAATGTAATTGTTATTGTCTGAATTTTTCCGCATTTTCTGCAGTTATTATGAAATTTATTTATTATTATTTTGTGAATTCTTAAAAAAAAAGGCTGGGTTTTTTTTTTTTTAAAGTTTTGATTTTTTAGAATGATTACTTTTCCAGAATATGATGCGTAATTTTTAAAAATAAAAATTACCCCCCACCCACACACACACGCCCGTGCGCGCGTGTGAATGCAATATAAGCGGAAACATTAAGTTTGTCTTAATTACAGCAAAGAGACGTGCCACAGCCTCCTACCTCTAAAAAAAGAACTACCCCCCTCATTCGTGCCTTTTTTTTTTTTAATACTTTCTGTTCTCTTTCTCAGTGTTTATTTTCTGTCTTCCTCTTTATTTTTCTCTTTTTTATTCAAAATCACTGAATACTGCAAGCGTGTACTTGTTTGTTTGTGTGTGCAATGTGCATGCATTTTATAATTTGTGTATATGTGCAGTACACTTATATGTGCGCTTAAATAGTTCCAGTTTTTAGTGTGTATGTGTGTGTGTGTGAGCACGCACGCATGCGTACGCGCGTTTCACTGCGTCTGTGTGGTTCCCTGTCTCAAGTCTTGGTTAGCTTCATGTTTATTTCTGTGTCTCTGTTTGTATTCTTCCCCCACCCCTTTTTTTTTCTTTTCTTTCATCATCTGTTTCTCACGTATACTACACACACGCACACTCTCTCTCGTACACATATGCCTTTTTTAACCTTTTTCCCTCCCTCATATTGCACATTCTTTTTTTTTTTTACTTTTGTTTTTAAACGCTCTTTTTCGTGTCGATGCCTCCTTGCTTTACAATAATACATTTTTTTTAACTAATCTTGTGTTTTCGTCACATTGTTGCTTTTTTTTTGCATACAAATCTGGTTGAAGGCCACTTGATTGAGAGTATGAAGCGCGTGAAAAGCTGACAATATATCTGCTTTTTTTTCTTCTTTAACTAATAACGCGCAAACTACAATCACATTATAGGCAGGCACTCGATCGCACCCCTTGTTTTTCTCTGACGGGCATGTGCATCAGAACATAACATGTGTTACGTTATATCTTCTTCGTATGTGTGCAATATTTGTATTCATGTGCCTATCTCCGAAGTCACTTTGTGCTCAGGGCCCCTGCCCCGTCAACGCTAGCCTTAAATCCCCAGGCTCTTTTACACCGTCACGTTTTCGCATATACTTGAACTTCACGCGCCTGCTGCTTCGCATTGAAGCTAAGGAGATCGTTCCTCGCTCTTTTCCTTTCTTCCCTCCATCCTTTCTGCAGCGTCACATCTTGTTTTGTTAGCCTTTAACTTCAGGGCACCCACCTTTCTTTCTCGCCTCGTCAACGCCATCATCACTTCGAGTTCTTTCATTAAAATCCCTACTTCCACTCTCACTCCTGACCTCCCACCATATTACAAACTACAACGGATCCCTGCCTCAACCGCGCTACGGACTCCGTCTACTTAAATTGGCTTTCTTGTGGTTTTTTTTTTGTTCTAATTGTTCTCTCAACCTCATCTGTTTGCCTCAGCTTCTCTTATCAATTCATTTTAACCTTGTTTCTTTTCTTTTTCAGTTCTTTTGGGTGGGTTTCTTCTCTTTCCTTTCTTTTTATCTTCTTCCTTTTTTGTCCTTTTTGTATTCTAATTTCTATATCCACTCTTCTTATCCCACTATTTGACTTTCATTTTACTTCATTTTCTTACCACTTCCTCATTTTTCTTTTCAGCATCTAAATTCTAACGACTTCCATTCTTTCTCAACTATCTACTCCCTGATTCTCTCTCGTATTGCTTTCTTATTTTTCTCTTTCTTTCTTTCAAAACTTATTGTTTACTTACATTCTTTTTATAATAAAAATTTTATTATTCTTGCTATCTTTATCTTTTGTACCTACTTTTATTTTTTTCCTATTCTTACTTTTTTTTTTGTTTTATCAACTCTTCCTTTCCGTCTTGCTCTCTCTCTCACTACTCAAACAGTTTATTATTTCTTTTTCTCTATCTATTCCGATGTTTTCCTTTTCTCATATTTTGTTTTCTGTTCTTTCTGCTTAGTTTATCTTTCTTCTTTGCCTCTTCTTCACTTACTTTTTTTAATTCTTTCTCTACTTCCTTTTTCTTTTTTCGTCTCTTTTTATTCCAACCTCACCCTTTAACATATTAACTTTCTCTCTCTGAGACACATGTACGCACAATAAGCTGGCCTTGTGCCGGATTAGATTAGCCAAGTTTAGTAAATATAGCGTACACGCACAATAAGTAGTATGAGGAGGAGGAAGACGAGATAAATAATTACTTGCCTCAACTAGCGCTATTTTTCTTCTTGTGTCTGTTGCCTACTCTTCCAAACATACAGCGGTTCTCTGCCCCTGTCAGAACACCTCCTACTACAATAAAATTTCATACTCTTACTTTTTACTTTTCCTCTTCCTCCCTCCTTTTTTATTATTACTCCAATAGCTCCTTACTTTTTCGGGGGAAAAAGCAACGTCGTCCATTCATGACTTCTCGCCCGTAATGGCTGAGAAACGACACTTACTGGTACTGGTGGTTTTACTACTTACTGGTGCTAGTAGACAACAACAATCAGTGCTGTGGTTGTAATATATACATGTACCAAACAAGAAAAGGGACTTACATATATCGACAAATCATCACCATGAAGATGACCAGGATATCGACCGACAGAAGGACTAAGAAAAAGACCAGCAATAACCGCGACAAGAACAACAATAATAATGCTATTATAGATAATAACTACAATAATTACGACCAGAGTAATAACAATAGTAATAACTGCAGAAATAATAATTTTAACAATAGTGACAACAATAATATCAGTAATAACAACAACAATAATAACAATACTTGTTGTAGTTGTAGTGTTAGGAGGACGGAGACGGCGACGACGACGACACTATTAAAAAAAAAAAAAAATTGTTGGGCTGTATGTATAATTATTTTTTTTTTTTAATACCTACTTTAAAGGGGGGAGAACGACTGACGATGATTCTATACAAGAGACGTTTATTTTGTTATATCGTCGTCTTCGTTCAATTTTTCATCGTTTTCTGCACTTGTGCTAACCTGGACAATCGAACCCTGCCAAAAAATGGAGGTATGTTTTCGGTCAACCTGACCGGATCTTTATTTTCTTTTCCTCTTCTTCTCTTCTCTCCTTAACTACCTTTTCTCCTCTATCTCCCCTTCTCATTATATATATATATATATATATATTTCTCTTTTCACTGTGATAATTTCTTTCAGTCTTTTAAAGAAAGACTCTTTTCTTTACCCTCTCCCACACTAAAGTGAATATCCAAATATAAACTGTGAAAATGCGTGCCTGGTTGTATTACTATTTATTTTATATTGTTTATAGTAACATACTGTATGTGTTGAAAATGTAGTGACGAAGGTTTGTTTGTGATAGAGAAACCAGAAAGAAAAAACGGGGATCAGTTTCTTATGTAACATATAACATCAAGTGGTCCCCCATTTTATGACCACTCTACGTTATCTTCTTTTTTTTTCAGCATTTTCATTCTTGTAAAATCTTTTTTTACTCTTAAAATTAATGTTTGTTTAGATCTCCAAGATTAATTTTTTTTATTTATATTTGAGAAGTTTGTCTATTAGTTTCATAATTAAAAAAAAAAATAAATAACCTAAAATTAAATACGACGAAAATTGTTTTAAGACTTTAAAAAAATATTTATTTATTACCTAATTTTGTTTTTATTTTAATTTTAGTAATATGTTTTGTTTGTAGCAAAAAAATATGCTATGTTCAACACAAAAATGGAATAAATTAAGTTCGTTGCAAAATAGGTCGGTACTTGTTGTTAATCTCTTAAAAAAAGAAAAAAAAAAGTAACACTACGGAAAGATTTTTCTTGTCTACCCTTCTAGGATTTTCTGAAATAATAAGGTTGGGTAGAACAGTTCGTTTTCCATATAAGTATTTTTTTTAAAAAATAGTCTACATACAATCAGCGTGTATGTGTGTTCGTTCATCATAGTATCCATCTTATGACCAGTCTATTTTGTGTTATTTTTATCTACCTTACATCTCTACCATTATGACGATTGTTTCTGAATTTAGACGGACATTTGTCCTAAGGGATTGGTTTGTTATGAAAGGTAGAAAGTACACATATTTTCGTCTTCCGATTGTGAAAATGAACCCCCTATTTGTGACCGACATACAACACCTCATACTTTACTTAACTCTGTTGGTTTTACCTTTACTTTTTTTTTATTATATCATATTTCTTTCCTTTCTGTAAATACACCTCAGAATAACATGTACTTGCACATAATTAATGTGAATAGTATAATTCAGGATCAGAAATTCGTCTTTTTATGTAATAAAAAATGTATTTTATAAAAAGTTATTTTCATTGAATAAAAGTTTAAAACTAAAAAAAAATACTTTAATTTTGCAACTGTGAACCTTTTATTTTTTTAGAAATAATTTTAAACTTTATATTTTCAATAAACCCCTAAATTGCAATAATCTCAAACATTAATAAAGTAAATATTCAAAGTCCATATAAAAAAACAAAACAACTTCGAATTTTATGAAAGCAAAGAACACCTTTAAAAGTTTATTTAGTGCCCTACACTTTTTTAATCAGTCCCTAGTTTAAAAATGATTGTAATGGAGATTAAAAAGTCAGAAGGAGCAAGTGAAAAAGTACATGCGTTTCTGGAGCTAAATTACGTATATTTAGATTCTTGTGATATATTTTCTTCTTCTGCGTGTTGAAAATTTTCAGTTGCAAGTCATCCCATATTTATTGACATGTTACTCTCATGAGTTCCCAGTTGTCACATATAACATGTACCGAGGTAACTTTCTCAAAAATAAACATTCAAAATGGCCGCTTCATGGTCACGTCACGTTACTTAGTCTCTGAAATTTCTTTCTGGCTTATGTAGTAGAGACTCTTGTTAAACGTTCTGCTACCTAGTAAAAAAAATGACATTGAAAACTTTTATAAGTTCTTGAGACTGGATGTGCTTGCTTTGCAGTGAGTGACTAGTTAACAAAAAGATTAACCATCATCTTTTATGAACTACTGCTCTATCTAATGGTGAAAAAAGTAATTGGATTCCCGTTTGCGAAATAAACAGTAATTTTTACCATGATAGGATGCAATAATACATCACCTTTTTAAATTTTTCATTTTCAACATTCTCGAATTATTTTTAGTATTTAAGAGTGTTATTTAATTTTTCGAAACTGTTGAAAAGACACATTTATTTTATAAAGATTTAAATAAAAACTAAGTTCTAATTAGAACACATTGTTAATGTTACAAAATTACATGATTGGTCATTACTGATGCGAAAAATTGTGTGTTATTGTTTACCATGTAAATTGTTTTTTTATTTTGTCTTAAGCCGTCAAGGTAAATAAAATGTAAGGCTTTAAAATCCATAAATGCATATTCAACATCTTCAGAGTATGCTGATGTAATTTAATTGCTTCTTTGATTAAAACTTGCTGTCTTAAAATAAATCCAATGATTTTTTTTATATTCAAGTTCGATCAATCGTGCTTATTATTATTTAAAAACATTGATATAGGTTTATTGATCCCTTGTTTCATTGAGGAAGATTAACAGACATTTATTTTGTTTTTGTTGTAATAATATCTAGGTTATCTTCAACATGTTTTCGCTTTATATCGACTTATTTTTCAGATTATCATTCATTATTGATACCGACTTTGATTGATCAAACTTTTGTGCGCAACAAATATGTTTCTCATTTCATTTTAGTTTATTTAGTACATCTGGATTTTTAAAACAGTATAATAATCCTACACACACACACAACCCCCTTTTTTTTTAGTTTGGGCTTCTCTTTTCTATTGTCCACTTATTTGTCCCTATTTCTGTATCTGTCCATACATCCCCCCACTTCGTTTTTTTTTTTTTTTTTTTTTTTTAAATGTTTCTCTCCGTACACTCGTGGGTGTTCTTATCTCACCAACCTTTTTTTCTTTCTTTCTCTCTCACTCACACACACACACACACACACACGAGGTTTTAGTTTTACATACATTTATCATTTATTTTTGTATTTTCTGTACGTGGGCAGCAAAATTGAATAAATAAAGTTACTATATACAGAATAATAAATTAATTATGCATTAATTTTTTCATTACTTAAACTTCCGATATTAGAAAACAACTGTATTTTTACTGCATATAATCCGTCCGTCATATTTATAGATAAAAAAAATCCTAAGTAAGAAGATCATCTCAGATACATTAATGTTTTTTTACTAGTATCCCAATAAGTATGTATGTCAAACAAAATGGTTTTTCAATAGCTGTTTTTATTATTATTTTTTTTTAATTGTGTATCACTGTATTTCCCCGAGGTCGATTAAAAAAAAAAGTACTGTGTACTTTTTCTGTTCGAGAAAATCATGTTTTAATTTCTGTAAGTTGTAGAAAAAGGTATTTAATAATTTGGTTAAGAAGAGTTTGTGTTGTGGTGCTTTCTGAGTTTCCATATGCGTCGTGTTCGAAAAACAAAAAAAAACCTCTTCTCTTCTCTCAGTGTTACATGTGACTTTCTACTTCGTATCATTCACCATGACCGCTTTTTATTTATTTATTTATTCATCAAGCAAGACGATAGTCTTGATAAAAGAACTAATCTTGTTAAGTGCACACTCGCTTGGATAAGAAGACTAATTTTAGTTGAATCTAATTAAATTGATACTGCTATTAAATTTGGTCAGTAACACGTTTTGTATTTTCCTTGGATGTAGAATTTTAAAGAATTACATAAAAAATAAAATGGGAGAATACATTCATCATTTTCTGTTCTAATAATCTTTAGAACTTTTTTCATAAATTGATAAAATAATATTTTAAAAATATCGTTTCCATCACGATTGTATTGGATAAAGTAAAGTAATGAAAACCAACTTAAGACATTCAGCCAGAGGGGGGGGCACAAAAAATATTAGTCCTTTAGGGAGAAAAGACTTTAATTATTAAAAATATTAAAATTAATTTAGGTTTTATTTACTACTTGGTAATCGATAAAAATATTTTCATATATGCACAATATACTCATTGACTAACAAGGCAGCAAAATATACTTCTGCCATCTCTGGAAATAGGATAGG